GAGAGAGAGAGAGAGAGAGAGAGAGAGAGAGAATGAGAGGGGGAGAGAGACGGAGAGAAAGATGGAAGGGATAGTAAGAAATATGTTAAGAGGGTTTTACGGCGCTCGCAACAGCATTAGGTCATATTATTATGAGCGCCAAGGGGTGGGTGTGAACAGATAAATCTTTACAGGGAGGCGAGGGACATGGTGACACGGACAGGGACAGTCAGTTAAGCTGTCACCAGAGGCGAAGCGTCTATATAATCAAATAATCACTGCTTCCCTTCCTAATTTTGAAACATTGTCGCAGTCAAATTCACCCATAGACGTGAACCTCATAAATTAAATGTAAAAAGACGTTCATAATCACCAATGAACAACAGACTATGCCTAACCTTCAAAACCGTTTCATTGCCACATAAATAGCCTGTTCGCCCCTATCGGGCCACTCCATAAGCAGCCACAAGCTTTGATTAGGTAAGCTTAAAGTGAGGCTGGGAGAGTCAACCAATATAGTTGAAGGGAACATGTGCATAGCAGTCAGAACTGTTTCATTGTCGCATATACCCTGTTCACCCCTTTCGGGCCACAGTTATAAGCACCCAGACGCGCTGATTATCTAAGCGAACTATTACACTGGTCGAGTCTACCTCACAGATGTGAGGGGAACTAACTCCTAATAATCCTTTGACTCCTGCTACTATACTGCTAGTGCTTGGGTTTTTTTCCTCGACTTTTTAACGTCCTATAATCAGATCGTGACCTCGATTATGACAGCGGCTCCTGGCCGCGAAAAGCTAGACAAAAAAACAGCCAAATGTGAAATAAAAAATTAATAATTGTCGTGCTCTACCAAAGTGTTTTGGCTGTCTGGTATAACATGCCATTGTAGTGCTGACATCTGTGCTTCTTTTCTTGGTGTTCGTGTGTTCAAATCTAAAGTTAAATTTAAGGTTAGTTAGAATAAATATTTAATGAAATACTTTTCCGATTATTTTAGCGGTTGAACAAGCATACAACATGAATTCAGGATTTGTTTTCATTCACAACTCAAAGTTGCCGCCTCCAGTGCCAGTAAGATTCTTGTGACTTGTGTGAGTGTGATATCTCCAGGCCCTATCTGGTCCCATTTCACTTTGATTACCCTGTCAAACAAGTCAGCCTTCGCCCCTGCTCCTCACCCACCTCCCCTCCCCTCCTCTTCCTCCTCCTCCTCCTCCTCCTCCCATTCCTCCTCTGCCTCCTTCTCCTCCTCCTCCTACTACTACTACTACTGCTGCTGCTACTACTACTACTACTACTACTACTACTACTACTACTACTACTACTACTACTATTACTACTACTACTACTACTACTACTACTACTACTACTACTACTACTGTGGAAACCTGATATAACAGGGATGGTGGGAGTAGAGAAAATGTCCTGTTATACTCGATCCCTGATAAATCAGAAATTCAAGGAAAGTAAGCGTTTGTGGACTAATCCGAATCCATCTGTACTTATTCATGTGTAGTTTCCTTTGGCACAAGTACCCTCGGACAGGGGTTTTGGCACCAACGTTCTCCTTGCCTCCTTAAACCACATCAGAAGAGCTTGGTCCACGGCATCTATATCGGGTAGTCTCATCTTCGTTCGATCCAGAGCAAACTTTCCATTGGAGTATGCTGCCACTATCTTCTCTCTATTCTTGATAAAGGTGTGAATCGACCCTTGTGGAAAGTCGAACTGGCGACAAATCTCTGCCAGTGGAGCTTGCTTTTTGTCAACAGTCTGGATTATTCCATATTTTTTTGTCAATTGAAAGGCATTTTCTCTTGCGCTTGACATCGCTGGTGACATTACGCGTGCGTGTTGCTTGGTTTCGGGCTAGGAAGAAGGTCTGCAGCACACCGCAGCCCTCTCTCGCTTCACACACTGCGTGTGCTTGCAGTAGCATGGCTTGCATGGGCTTGCTCCATCACTGCGTTACTCTCTCTCTCTCTCTCTCTCTCTCTCTCTCTCTCTCTCTCTCTCTCTCTCTCTCTGTCTCTCTCTCTCTCTCTCTCTCTCTCTCTCTTA